TGACTTGGATTCCATTGCGAGAGCCTGGGTCACACGGACAGAGCTGAAATGGAAAACAAACAGCAAAGCCAACACACCACAGGCATACCCACAGCACAATCTCACACATCAATGACGACCTGCGCCCTCCAGTTAAAGGTATCCTCTTGACATCTTGCAACACAATCGCCACTTGCTAGAATAACTCTTGCAGAATGCAACGTGACCATATCAGCACCTCATGATACTCTACGCACATCCTCTTATCTACTCACTACCAATTACCACTGCGATCGCTTGTCACTCATTCTGCCTCAATTCTAGTAACGGTGACGTATGCAAGCCTCAGTCATCTACACTCTCGCTCCCCGGCGTGTGGGACCACAGCCTAAATGGAAACATTCATTCTCAATAATTGATTTCACTTCTAATCCTTATCTCCGTGTGCATGTCCTTCTCAGCACTAGCCTAGTCTCCCTGGCGCATACGACCCATCTTTGACATCAATCAACTCATTCCCGGATGTAGAAGACTCGAAACAACTTCAGAAGTAAGCACAAAGAAAATTTTAAGAAAATTATGCAATAACAACAAGATATAAAGACAACAAGTAAACACAGTGAATCCAAAAAGCATCGACTGATATGACACACACACCAAACTTGCTCACTGTTTCCCAGTTCACCTTTGTATGCACCACTTGCAAACGTGTAAAACACAACCGTGTTTGTCTTGCATCTTGTAACTTATCTGTTGAGGATGTACCACGAAAGCTATTACACTCTCTAAGGCTATATGCATTACTAGACACCATAAAGCTTTCTCGATATCCACCTCTCTGAGACCCTTTCATCATAAATGATTGCGTTTTGCTCTCAGACTGCTCCATTCTAGGGGTGGGATGCAATATACTGGCAAACTTGCTCATTGATTGATTGACACTATCGTTTACCAATTTCAGAATATCATCAAACTTTGGCTCGATACCTTCATCCTCTATACGGGAGCTTATCTTCACCCACTTCCTTTGCAGTCGAGTAGGTAGGCGTCTAGCTATTACTTCTAGGACAAAACTCGAGTTGAGGTCACTTATGCAATTCGTCGAAATCAACGTATTCTTGTAAGTCAACAGATTACCCAAAATCTCAGAGGGTGCCTTGGGGTCATCTTGTAGTTCACTGCCGTTACCTTTAACAGCCCCGAATACGTTCTTTATAATCATCGAAGTTCTTCCAAACCTTTGACGTAACACGCTCATATCCTCAGCGTATCCCTCATTAGGGGGCATGAACTTACAGCACTGTATAGCTCTTGCAGCAACACCAGTGCAATACCTCAACAAATACATTAACTTCATTTCGTCATTTATTGCAAACCCGCTCATCATGACTTCAAACTCTCTTACAAACTGTGGATAGTCAGCTGGGTTTCCTTCGAAATACCTAGGTTCATACTTACGGGGTTTGATAATCCTACTATCCCTAGACAGAGAAAGATTAACATCAACCATGTCAGGCTTAACATCGGACACATCGGTACAAGTAGCAGAGAAGTCACTATGACTCACTCTGCTGATTGCATCCAAGATGCTACGTCCCTTCTCTGACCTAGGCAATTTTGAACTTGACCCAATTCCAAAAAAGTTCCAGATATTGCTTGTTCGAGGAAGACTTGACCGGCACCAGGAAAGATGAACGGTGACTATCCAAATCGTCACCGACTGTTCGAAAACGTCAAAAACTGACGCCGAATCGTCAGAAACTGACACCGTACCGTCAGAAACCGTCAGCCACGTCTCGTAAACCGTTAATGCCCAGCTCTTGCTACGCTGGGCCTCACGCTGTTCCTCGAAGCTTCTCAGAAACGCTTAGTACGAACGGACGAAGAAACCAGAACCCAGTTTGGCGACTCGAGAATTATTGATTCTAACACCAACATATAACCAATGTTACAACTAAGGTCTATGAACAAATATTACAATAATAAATCACAATATTACTTCTGACGGTTGTCTCCTGACTTCTTTCTGAACAGCGACCGATGAGACAATGACTGTCGTATTGATGCCTCCGCGAAAATTGGTGAAGTTGGTTTTGAGCAAACAACTATGAATCGATCGTTCAATCTCAACTACATTGACAAGCATCAAGGACCACCTGATGTGACAACCATCCCCATTGCTGTAAGTCATGGATGCCGTTTTCGCAAGCAGTGCCATCTCCCAGCTCCAAAACAATGCGTATGACCTTTGGAGTAGAACGCATCAGTTTCGGTGACTGCCTCACCATCTGCTTGTTAGCCCATGGCCTGTTACGTCTCACTCTTATGGTGGAACTACTGTCGATAACTGAGCCGGTAGTAATATCCTTTCAGGCCCTTCGGTAGAGCTCAGTATAACCCTAAATGGGAACAGCTTAACCTCAGTTGCCTGAACACCCTGTATAGCCAGAACAACTACACTGGATTGACGTTCAGTCCTAATTTATTGCGCAAGTCGGACCACTGCTTTCGATCAATTAGGGCCCGTTGTTCAAGCAAGATATCAGTGCACACGGGAACATTAAACAACATAAAGGAATTAGACCGACTGACCTCAGATTTAGGTTTGGTGTTTGGCTGCTTGTCCTTCTTTGCAGGGTCAGTCACTTTAGACTTCAACGGATTCTGAATAGCCCTTGCTATGCTGGCAAACTTGCTAGTGGATGCAAGTGATGCTCCACCTGATGCTGTAGGTGTAAACTTGGGAGTCGTCGCTTTATGAAGATTGATATTTCCAGTCAGCTGGGCTGGAGTATCCTTGCCGCTGCTTTTACCAAGTTTCGGCAGTGTGATGTTACCAGGTGGAGACCTGTATGAGACTGTGTCGAGACGCCGAAGTGGCGTGTTGTTTCTGCTATCCACAGACACGTTGTGTGAGATTGTGCCAGGGCGAGAAAGGGGGTAGATGTACCAGAACCATGGGCACAGGTACGTTTGAAATTGGTGGCTGTCAATCACGTCTCATAAACCGTTAATGCCCAGCTCTCGCTACGCTCGGGCCCACGCTGTTCTTCGAAGATTTCGGAAACGCTTAGTTATAACGGACGAAAAAACCAAAACACCGATCTGCCGCTTGAGATTTGTTTATTGTTACACCAACATATAAAAGGAATAAGCGAACTAAGTAAACTAAGGTCTGAAAACAAATATTACAATAATAAATCATTGTATTACTTCTGACGATGTTTCACTCTTCTTTCTGAACAGCGACCGATGAGACGATGACTGTCGTATTCATGCCTCCGCGAAAATTGGGGAAGTTGATTTTAAGCAAACGACCAAGAATTGATCGTTCAATCTTCAACTCCATTGACAGTGGCATTTCTGCACGTGTTTTCTCTTGTATTCATTTATAGCTTATTGGTATATAATCCTTAAAGTTTTAGTCCAAATTTCTAAAACCGTGCTCGTGGAAACACAATTTTTCACGATAGTGGCTCAAACTTGGTTATAACTGCATTACCGTCTTGTAATACAGTACCAACTACTAGCTCACAAAATGGCTAGAGTGCAGTTCTCACTTCTGTGATACAGGTGAAAGATGTTATATTGGAGAACTCTGAGTTCTGTAAATTAAACCGCCTTGTAAAAGATATCCACAGGCAAGTAAATGAAATTCTGTTTGATAACTTGACAATGCCATTCTCAAATGTCATGGACAACCAAATACGGTCGACGAAAGGTGTGTTGGTCTCCGAAATAAACCGTAGGGTAAGCGGATAAGGAAATTAGGCTTATTCACACTTGGCTACTGTCGGCTTAGGGGGATATGATAACTTCCTACGAGATAACCACTGACCGGAATCACCCAAACATAGCTGTTATCCACTGGGTAAGTATAGGCTTCCTCGTGGAAACCTCAGAGTGATAGCTCACCAGATGGCAAGAACCAGGGCGCGCCCCCACTTCTTTTCAAAGTGGGTTTGCCGTCCCTGGAATTATTTACTGGCAGATATAGGTATGGCCTTTATACAATGGTTGAACGATCGTGCGGCGACACATGGACTGCGTCGAAATGCCCTATACCCTTAAATTCCAAAACACCATTCAGGGGTAGACAACTAAATTCGTTTTACTTCTGTACATTCCCTCCCGTCTTACTCTCCTGACAACTCCAACTACTACACTAACGCTTAATATGATTACCGATATATATATATATATGTACATCAACTTCAAATTTAATCAGCTGTCTGTTCTTACGCTTTCTTTATTTCTTTTTCTGTCTGTTGGTCTGAATAACTTCACTAATTATATCTATCATAACTACATCTTATCTTTTGACAACGATACCAGAGGACTAACTGGTGAAAGGTTCAACCCATTCACAGTAGCAACATTCTTAACACATAGCATACCACAACCGACACATAATTAATTCCAGCACTACCCTTTTGGAGTCAACAGAGGTACGACAGTCGAGTGGCAAGACGAACTACGCAGAAGTCGACCAAATGTCAGGAACCTTCACCTCAAATCAAGAAGCGAGCATAAAGATATCAAATTGCTTTATACTAGCTGGAAAAAGCGATATTGGATATTGTATGCTCAGTTTCATTGTTTAAGCGTTTCGCATGTAAATTTTGTAAGGTTAATTTATGTACACATTTTCAAGATCTTTTCAAATATCACTGGTATTTTCAGTTTTCTCTGCTTAGGAGGACGACTGATGAGGGCCAAACGTGAATTTTGACTGTGAGTCAATGCAATTAATCTTATGAATAGTAAGAATGAATATTACTTTTTTGAAACATAAATACGTTTTAATTTGCTTAGATCTTATGTTTTCAATTGTTTATACTCTTGCTATATCATAAATGATTTATTGTCGTGATTTTTTCTTTCTGAATGCTGCCTTCTTTTGCAGATACTCCAGGAATTCTACTATTCCGTACTGTTGGTGTTATACGTATAGTACTATTTTGAAGCATTTTTGGCACTGTAGAAAAATATTAAGTGTCAGCAAAAAACATTCCAATACAATGTCATTCCGGAATTTAAAGAGGGTAATATATCTCACCTATAACCTGTTCTCCTGAATTTAAATTTCTTAAATATATCACCATTTACACATATTCACCAATTTTCTGAGGTATGTTTTTCCAATCATGGTGGCGTCTTTCTTTTATTGCATTTTTGAACAGATTTATTCGTGATTTTCATACGGATAAACCTAAATGTGATTACAGTTTGAGTTTCCAGCTACCACTTTCTTCGGTCTCACTGGAGAAATTTCGGGGCGAAATCTTTGGAGACATTGCAGGAAGTGGGACAGTTATCTGCAGTGCTCTCAAAGTCATTCAGAACTGAGTAGTCAATTCGTGTTATGTCAGATCGATAGATTTAACTACATTGATATTCACACTGAATACAACTGCTCAGATATCACTAAAAAACCTGCTTGGAATTATCCTGCAAAGCATGACCAGAATATTTTCAGCTGGCTATTATAATGCCTACGGGTGAAAGACTTTATTGACGGTCCTGAAATAAACAAAACTTTATAGATTCAGGCTACCGCCTGACTCGTTTAAAATATTTCTGAAGTTAGAAAATGAAGCCTAGATATTATAACAAGAACTGAATTATTTTATTCGGAATTACGGTGAAATATTTAAGTCTTTGTGAATATGATATAAGATATTGGGACGATCGTGTGTATTTTATTACTGCATACAAAATATGTGTGACAGCAAGTCATGATGAATATTACCACTTTTCTAAGAGACTTATCTCACCATTAACCATCAACTTGTTTATTAAATATGACTTTAAAATACTTGTTGGAGATTTTTAAAGTCAGTAACATTTAAAGTTGTCGATGTAGTGTTATTTATATCATCTGAGTTCTGCTTAGGGTACGGTTCAGTAAATTGGTTGTCAGTATGTGAATAGCATATGAATGCTTTTCGTTGACTTTTTTGTTCATGAGTCAGTGGCATGAATTTAGATGGGTATGTTATTGAGTTCAAATAGCAAAGTTCCATCAGTCTACTCACGTGAGTATTATTATTCTCTCTTACAAAGTGAACGCGGCTGAAATTGCGTTCACTTGGTATAATACTCTTATTTATTTGACTACTGTTACAGTAAAACACAAAGCTGCTACTACTACTACTACTGTGGTGGTGTGAAATAGACAGTGTGCTTCGACGGAATATTGTTCTCATATATTCGGACATTTCAATACTGCATTAGCAACAGAATACTATATGCATTTGAACATTCTATATCATGTAGTTTGACGTAAACCAAAATCACATGTTCAGTAATTGGTCAAATAATATAAACGATATATATATATATATATATATATATATATATAGCGGTTTGATCAATTGAAGATATACCTTGGCTTCCGTGTCTTGCCTTCCGCTGTTAAACTACTACTACTTTATGGAGTTTCAGCCCCATTGCCATATTTTCGATGAGCTTCCAGGTATGCCAAATCTAGCACATTAGAATAAAAAGAAGTAAATTACACATAGGTATTTATGGTACTATAGTAAGATATAAAGACGTTGGTGTGAACGCTGTGCAGTAAGAGTCAACTTAATGATATGAAGTTTAGTCTACAGTGCAAAAATAGATTATTCAAGTACAGGAAACTATATCTGCTGTCACTGTAAAGTCATTGTTAATGTAGCCGATTATCCCTTTATTATTAATGAGTTTCGAAGGTAGTTTCGTGAATATTTTTGGTGAATAAATTCTATCAACAAAGGTATTTAGCTAAATTAACAAGTGAGATAACTTGGTATGTTTGATAGGTCTCATGACTTTATGTAGGTAGTTACATTCAGAAACATATTGGTATGAATTAGACTTCCTTTACGAGCTTAAGGTGACTATTAAGAACATTTTGATATTTCAGTTGCTATCATGATAACTATGTTGAGGATTCTAACGGCAATTACTTGTAGAGTTGTCCTCCAGATTCTTCTGCCGACTACATAGTGTTTTACCCAATGACTTTATATATCCAAACTATAATTATTTGTTTAAACTGTCAGTACTTTGTAATGGGGAGCTATTTTACTGAAGGTCTTTAGTCGGTTGATAGTGAGTAGTGTTATTTCCCTTATACTTGTTTTTATCTATTCCAAACACTCACATTTATCGCAGCAGATAAATAAAAATTAAGACTAGACACACGTCTTTGATTTACTTGAGCCAGCATGTCCAAAAAGAAGCATCCGGTCAAATAAAGTATTAAGATTTCTTAAGTTTACTCATAATGTTCTCACAGAGAATTGTTCCACTTCATACAAGTATCCGTGAAGACTTCATTGTATAATGAATTTGGTCGGTTTCTTATCGTTCAGCACTGAGCAGTTTGTCTTTAGTTACCTCTTATTCCAAAATACAAGAAAAGGGATTTTTGTTAACCTATACAAGAAGTATTCTTTGTTATTACGAGTTTTTAGTGGTTCTCTAACTGATATCTATCGGTGATAAACTCGTAACAAGAAATCTAATCCTTACAAACCAAATATAGAAAATTCTTTGTTATAACAAACCATTTTGTCGAATGTGTGTGATGTTGTTATCATGTTTTATATATGTATGTTTTTAATGTAGTTGTGTTCGCTGAGCTTCACACTTCAAAGTGAAGTATGTGCCGAAGATGTTACCTAGTAATATAACAAAAGCTTCGCAAGTGAACTATTCAGCTCAGAGAACACAACTACATCAAAATTACCTACCTTAGCCCCAAATCTTCTCCATTTTACCGACATATATATGTACATGTATTACAAAACTAGTAGTTGATGTTAATAAATTGTCTGTGTTTAAAAACTACCCAAAGTGAAATAAGCAAAAGCATAGAGCTAGACAAGTCAGCCACTGAATACCACACCCATCTAACTGGAAATTTATGGTCTGTACTTGGGCGTATTACTTCTAGGAAGGAAAAAATGAGTCTAGCCTCCGTCTAGACATGTCCAAAATTATGTTCAGTACAGGAGATTTGTTTTTACAAAGTGATTACTTTTCTCAGTTTACTATTTATAGTCTAGTTATTAAAAATGTGGGTGATACTTACTTATGGTCATTATCGACTTACTATGATCTATGTTGTTTTATTATTATTGTGTGGCGCATCCTTCTTGGTGCCATATTGTACCAAGTTTTTATGCGTTGAAATAAATAAATAAAAATAATGAAATCGGTAAACCTATATGCCTCACATAAGTTCTAGTGGATTTGCTATGCAAGTTGTCACATCTTGGCTTTCAAATAAATATTTTCTTTGTTTCTTTCCTTCATATGTATGAAGTAGCATAAAGTTAACTATATTTTGAAGAGATTTGGATAAGTTGATATCTCCCGTACGGTTAGATTAACATAAACTTGGAAAAGCTGCTTGCTTGGTTTATTTGAACACTAAGTTACCTATTATCTATACGGTATATAAACTAACAACGGGAATTCTCTGATTACTTTATTCTGACTTTTTGGATTGGGTCAACTAACTAAGTCAAAAAGTGTATTTTCTATTTGAACTCTACATATCGGAGTTCGAAATAATTTGACAACTATTGTGTTTATTATTTCACGGTATCTGTTGAATACAAATAAGTCAGTAATAAAACTGGTAAAGAGGAAAGGTTAGGCATGAGTCTAGTAACCCATCCCGTAAAAATAAACACCACTACTACCGAAACTTCTGGCATCTAGCTTGAGACCCTATATTCCACTGGAAACGTAAAGGAATAAAATAATAATAAAATAATAATAATTGAATTATTATTATTATTATTGTATCCTTTAGTTCCTAGAGGAACATAGGGCTTCAGCTGCGCACCTCCATTGACTTCGGTTTTTTGACAACTTTTTCACCCTGCTCCAGGTCTGCCCACATGCTTTCATCTCCTCTTCACATGACCTCCTCCAAGTCACCCTTGGACGACCAACTCGCCGCCTCCCTTTCGGGTTCCACTCGAGGGCTTGTCTAGTGATGTCACTTGTTGGTTTCCTCAGCGTATGGCCAATCCATCTCCATTTCTTTCTGCCTATTTGTTTCACAATCGTTCCTGATTGGTTCGCTCCCAGAGATCCCTGTTGCTGATCTTTTCTGGCCATCTGATCTTGAGTATTGAGCGGAGACAGTTGTTAATGAAGGTTTGAAGTTTGTTTGAGATGCTCTTTATGACTCGCCAAGTCTCTGATCCGTATAGTAGCACTGACTTCACATTGGAGTTGAAAATCCGGATCTTATTTTTGATGCTGAGTGCTGTTGACCTCCACACGGATTTGAGAGTAATGAAAGCTTGTCTTGCTTTTCCGATTCTGGCTTTGAATAAGAAAGATAAAAATTTCTTACAAAGTTAGGCACTCTATGTAAAGTCTGCTAAACTGCATTTACAGTTAACCGGGCTGTCTTTGAGTATGCAGACCAGAAACACCATAGTGAAGAGATGTGATGATCAGCCTATGTGATTTTTAAAGACTTATTTCAATGAATAAACTATTTTATTTGTTATTATTGCTTGTTCCTTAACGATACTATCAGACAACCGATTTGGATACATAATCCACCCTTAAATGAGAGATCAGTCATAGTCTAAACATCATAGTGGTGATGGGTGTCAGTAGTACAGTTTTAGTTAATGGTAACAACATAAGTTCCCTGAAGGTGATACATATTGACAGATACAGAAATTAGTTCAACTTCCTATCACCCTTAAATATGGCGTTTCAACTACTGGAAACGTAGATAGGTTCATTTTCAAGTACCATCGAAATTTATCTCATGAAATCATCAAGATTTGCCTGTTTGTTAACCAGTGCAATATGTAGACAACTGTATGGTCCTTTGATCATATTTCAAATACCATATCATATTAGTGAACAGTGTAGCTTACGCGACTGATATCATCAGTTCATAACCCGAGTTTATTTATTTTTTTGATATTATTTAATTTTAAGGAGCCCGAAAAGAAGATTCACAGTTTCATTTAGGATTACAAACTTTTATGTTGACGTAAGACGTATGATATAGCTAATGTGTAATGCCTACAGATATTTATATCAGTAAAGTAATTATGGATATAAGTTTAGCACATCTTATTGGCTAGTAATCACTTATTGGAAATTTATGTAAAATAGTTCAGCATTATTTTTTGTAAAGTCTACACCTATGGGTTCCTGACGTATGAGGTCTTTGAACTGTTCATATAACTTTAATTCAAATAAATTGTATTCTCATTTTCAATAGTTGATTTGTAAGCATTAGATTTCTGGTTACGAGTTTATCACGGATTGATATCAGTTAGAGAACCATTGAAAACCAGCAGGGAGTACTGGATAACTGTTTCATCCTATTTTGGGAATCATCGGCAGTACGCAACCACTAGTTGGGGTCGCGCTAAATCACGAATTGGTAGAAGTTAGAATTCATGAGCCATTGAATCGGGTCCAGGTGGCTGAATGGTATACGAGCTTGACTTGTAACTGGAGGGTCCTGGGTTCGAATCCCAGTGGGTGCGTACTGCCGATGATACCAAAACTAGGATGAAACAGCTGTCCAGTACTCCTTGCTGGTTTTCAATGGTTCTCTAACTGATATCAATCCATGAGCATGTTTTTGTTTCACAAGATAAAGACAAAACATTATTGGGTGGAATTGATAAGCGGTAGTCCGATGAACACAGTTGCATCGCATAGCTGAGTCACAGGAAAGTCAGAAGTAACGGCTAAGGTCAATTAACTTACTCAATTTTCATCTCTCAACAAAGTTTATTTCATCAGCCTACTGTGGCTATTATCAGTTTTTTTTATTACAAACTATCAAAAATGCAAAGAGAAGAATTTGTTTAAATAAATTAAATTCATTAATTTGTTTATTAATAATCTGATTTGCATATCTTTCCATTATAGATGAAAATTCGAAAATCAACACTCTTGTATATATTTATTATACTATTTTTTATGATACTATGCTACACTCTGTTTGTTGCAAAGCATTTACAAACTGAATCAGAAGTTAATATTCCCTTAGATGGACCACAACCAATCATATTTATTGGAGGTTATCCTAGAAGCGGTGAGCTGTTATTTGTTTATGTTTCAGTATTTTCAGTAATAGTATGCATCATTTTAATAGGTATTTACAAGTAATAGCTACACGACTAAATTCTATGAAGATTAGAAACTGTTAAATTTACTAACAGTTTTGTGTTTTAATCGTCTGTGAGCTGAATGTTTTAAATGATAACCATTCATCGTACTTCATCTAGATAACATCTCCAGAGAGAGCTTATTAGACACTAACATCACATTATATTTGACTCTGAAGATGTTGTCCATGAGGACAATGACACCTTCACAGTTAAAACATACACCTTACATCAAAAACATCCTGCTGAGCCATAAATCTTCACTATTTCAAATTTATTTTTAAGTGTTGGTTTGTAAGGATTTCATAGACTTCAATTTTAGTCATGATCTGACTGACATCACTTGGTTTGCTGACAATCTGGTGGTCTTGGATTCGATTCCTGACGTGGTCATAGCTGCGAACATCTAAAGAATCCAAACTAGGAGGTAACAGCTATCCAGTACTCCTTAAAATATAGCCTAGTTTACTATGTGAAAAGAAGGGACTACCAACCCCATCCCCTCCAAAACAACTCCACCGCCTCTGAAAACTTCAAAGTATAATACAATTAAACAGGGTATAATAATTTAGATGTTTGGACTCAGTTCAATAACTGAATTTGTATGTTCTATTTTAGGCACAACGCTTATGCGTGTTTTGCTTGATGTTCATCCCATGATTCGATGTGGTCCTGAGACTAGAGTTATACCGAAAATGCTTGGTGTGCGAAAATTATGGGGCGAAGGAGTTGAAAATGCTCGACTTAAAGCGGCTGGATTATATCCTGAAGCAGTTGATTCCGCTGTTCGTTCATTCATATTGTCAATAATTAAAAATGCCGGTGAAAATGCTCCAGTATTGTGCAATAAAGATCCGTTATCTTTTAATCATCTTTCCTATTTGGCTGATTTGTTTCCTGAGGCGAAATTTGTTCACATGGTACGTGATGGACGGGCTGTTGTTAATTCTCTAGTAAAGTAAGATACATTGTTATCAATACTGTTTTTTTTTTCATCGTAAATATGTTAGTCACTATATGTTGTTCATTGTGTTCCAAACAAAACACACGGCTTTCATGCCACATTTCCATTACATTCACTACTCCACCATCACTTTCAGCTAGCTCTACAACTGCTCACAAGCTTTCATTTCGTCTTCGAATGATCTTTTCTATGTCAGCGGGAAACGAATAACTCCTTGCTTCCCATTTAGATTCCATTTAAGTACCTGTCATGTAATGTCATTTGAATGTGTCCTTATCGTATATACATTCCCTAGCTATTTCTTTCTGCATATCTGTTGAGTGGTAGGTTCTTGACTGGTCCTCTACTACAGCATCTTGTTGCTTGAGTTAATGTAAATAATTTTGTTTTATTCCATCTAAAATTCATTTCAATTTTTTCCAGTTATTTTCATAATACTTCTATTTTTATTAAAACACAAGTTATATTCCTTAAGAGAATTGTTTTTTAAGTAGTTCACCTGGGTGAAGAGCTCATATGAGTATGACTGCAAGTTCTAGTCTTCTCAATATATTTGACTATATACATTAAATGATTAATTTGTGAATGATGCATCTTAGGAGTTTATTTCGTTGTCATCATAACGAATAACCATTAGGAGATTAAATAGTCATCCTTTTTATCTGATTAATCAAATTTCAGGATAGGAAACATGTACTTATCTGTGTTAATGTGTGTCATATGTAGTGGCATAAGTAATTCATTTATATAACAGATGGACAATCAGTATTTTTTATTCATTTTAAAACTGTATCTAGAGGAACCGGGATACAATGTTTTAATGATAGCTTCACAAAAGGGATCCACTTAACTTGGAAGAATATAACGTCTTGTATATTTATCGTTTTTCCTTCACTTTACGTTATTTGGTTAATGATAGCTAGTAGTGGAAATCAAGACGTTCGTCTCATCTCATTTGGGACTCCTCTACTGAATGCCATTGCATCTCTAGTGAGTGATGATTTCTCTACCAAGACACAGACATAGAACCCATAGTTTTGAACAACATTGGGTCAAAAGATCCGTTTTTTGTGTAACGGGTATCATCAGTCATTTGTTGAGAACACCGACGCACACCTGATATTTATGGTCGGCCTGCAAAATCTGGGCTACCGATATCCATGCTGAAAATTCTATACTTGTACCAAAAATACAGTGTGGAATCAAGCTGCAATCAAAAATAAAAAAAAATAAAGTAATAGCTGGGAATCCTGATATATTCAGATGAGATGTCTCAAACAAGACAAGTCTAAATCTCACTACTGGCCACCATCAACCAAATAATATTATGTTAACCTTCAGAGAGCTATGAAGCATCGGTAATGGACGCTGATATTTCAAGGGAGACTGAGCATTTCGGTCTACCAGAAATCATTTATAAGGGAATACCAAATAACTTAAACTAGTGAATACATCAGTAATGAATGTTAAATAGTCTTAGTGGTGTGGGCCATTGGATCGGGTCCCAGTGGCTTAATGGTATACGAGATCGCCTTGTAACCAGGAGGCCCTGGGTTCGAACCCTGGTGGTGGGTGCGCACTGCTGAAGAGTCCAAAACTAGGATGAAACAGCTGTCCAGTATTCCCAGGTCTTCCAATGGTTCTCTAACTAATGTCAGCTCATGATGAAATCCTGAAACCAATCAAATCCCTACAAACCAACACTTGAATTACAAATATTGCTGATCAAGCTGAGCATTTACCTGATCGTTCAAATTTCTTTGCTTTATTTTATAAATGTGAGATATAGTTTTAAACAATGCAGTCATACTGGGCAGCTGTTACATCCTAGTTCGGTAGTGATCAGCCATACTCATCCATGTTCACACTGTGAATCTGACCTAAATCTTTCAGACCATGAGGCCAACCTGTTGAACATTCAGCCACTGAGACGGAATCCAGTATCCTACGTATTCAAACTTCTACCGAGTTCCGATACATAGCTCAAGCGCTAGCTAATGTGATTGTCGAGTTTTTGAAATGGTGGACCCCAATGGTTATGACTTCTCACTAGAACTTCAGTCACTTCAGTAACAAGTGAGCGCTAGATTAATTTTCAAGTTTTGGTTTGTAGGAATTTGAAGTCAGTTCACGATCAAACCTTAAACCAATAAAATCCCTGTAAATCAACTTACGGGGATAATCTTCTCAGACTGAATGAACATCACTGTGTCTGTGGGAACATTTATATTATCAATAATAGAATGTAGTCCTTCGTAGCTCTACAACTAAAGTACTCAGGTATGGTTCTTAATCTTAAATTTGACAGTGAAATTAGTGAAGTATATCTAGACTAAGGAGATGAAATATCAGAAAGTCATTGTTAAACTGACTATTTTCTCTCCTTAGGATGGGAATCAAACCCGGGCCACGTGCTTGATTAGTGACAATTCTACCATTGAACCGCGGGCTTCTTGGATAAGCACACTGTTATCGATGTAACAGGCGATGATTAAAGGTCAAATGAAAGTCTGAGTCACAATATAATTTGAATTACTGGCCTCCGAATTACTAGTGAGTACTTCCATCAGGTGAGCTACAAGACTCATTTGCTCATTAGGTCATCATTCGACTGCGATTACCACCACGCTCACTGGTCAATTGTTATTTCAATGAAAGATACGTTACTGTCCGTTTAACATCACACTATCTGCCCAGCCAGATCTTCTTGTGTCAGTCATGATCATACAGAAGTAGAACATGTGGATATTAAGGAATGAAGTGACAATAAGATTTGGCCAACATTTTAATAGTTTCACAGAATAAGTAAAAATTAACTAGGACTTTTGTTAAAAGTGGTTGACTACTCAAAATCAAGGAATAACTAATCAAACTGTTTAACAGTTTGCTAGATAAAATACATTCATATTTAGTTCAACTACCAGTGCCTGTACCTTAGATGTGAATATGCTAAAGATCTTCTCAAATCTTTCGATTATTAATTGACATCTGTATAGATATTTGTCAACTTGAAATGTTCTTTTTTTTACTGTAAGGTGACCTTCTTCTTCTTGACTTATTTTCGTTATTCTTTCAGTGAAATGTGTCAACTGTAAAACTTGTTTATGAATAGATTAATCCCGGGAAAAAAATCTCGGCGTTAATACCAAAGAGATGATTACGTATCTGCACAAAAGATATTCAACAATTGGTTGAAGTGTTTAGGACATTAATTACGCATAATGCAAAGTTTGTTGAAGTAAGGTTAATATTAGGAAAAAGTTACAGGTCATCATACTGAAATATATCTCTAACCTATGAGGTTTGTGTTGGTCTGAGCGATTTATATTGGCAGAATTCAGTTTATCTGACTGTTTTCCTGATCATATTAGAAATCAGTATGTACAAGCTATGTGAGATGGCTGAAAATCATCCAAAGTTACACCAAAGTATTCATTTTCTTAACTGTAAACGTGGTTTATTGACTTTGACTAAGCTATGTTTTCGTGTCTGGCATATGTTTAATTAGAGCATTACGGGTCCGTAGCCTCTTTCTTCTTTTGTATGTGTGTATTTGTGTTGTATCGTGAAGTGTGAATATGCTAATCTTTGTACTGCTATGCAAGGTTCCAAGTTAATCTATCAAATCAATTGCTTATTTATTCCCAGCATTCAAATGTGTTTTCTGTGTTATGAATAGAGACAAAGTCTTCCATATCTAAATGTTGATTTGGATCAGTGCGTTTGATTCCAGGTTAGATTTCAGTCTGTTATCACCTATGGAGTAATGAACAGCTGTTTCATCCTAGTTTGGAAATTTTCAGCATTACACACTCATAGCTGTATGGACGATTGAATCCAGGAATTTCAGGTTTCGAGGTGATCTCATTGATCATTCATCCACTGGGACGGAATCCAGTGACCTATCGGCTTTGACTCCTTCCTATTCTCTATGTTTAGAGCCACTACTAACCGATGTCATTGGTGAGCATATGTCCTCACACCCGACTAGTGATGACTGCCAACGAGTTTCAAATGAGGGCGAAACAGCTGTCTATAAGTGATATCAATTCATTATCCACCTTACGATGTCTTTTATGTTTTCCAGTCACATGTAGATTAAAATGGTAAGACTGTGACACCTAACCTAGGCTAAGTGAAAGCTCAGAAGGCTAAAAACAATTCATAAATTCATTTTTTCAAGATTTGTCCTAGAATCTGATACAGAAACGTAAAAATGGTGGTAATTTTGTGAATAAACTCTGAGTCAATCAAACTATAATGAGAGAGGTGGGAATGAAGTTTTTGAAGGAAATGACTGTAGTAGCGAAAAGCCATTTACCTGGAGTAAATACGCAGCCAGAAATAACTGTGTTACTTTTGGACAGGCTGAGTGTTACCGATTTCCCCCAGGGGAATCTACTTTCCAAGCTTGTCTATTTCATTTGTAATTACCCCCTGAATAACAGTTTAGGTTTGATGTCCGACAGAATTTTATATCATTGAAATCAAAAATACTTGCATAATATACATCAAACTTAAAATAAAATCATGCTGTATCATAATGGCAAGTGTTTAGAATGCAGGAATTTAATATTTCGTGTAAATAAAAAATACATTTGTCATCATATGGTTCCCACTGTATCATTTATAAATACAGCTGTTATTATTGTTATTATTTAGACTTTACTGTATTCACTGTATTTACAAGCTAATTATTTTAATCGGCACTTAATTACGTAATAAATTAGTCAACTGTTGCATTGGTTTACAAGTGAATAAGTTAATTAGCACTCATGGTATGACTATTTTTTATGAATAACTATAAACTACTTGACTGTAAATAAATTTAGAAAGCCTGTGCGGAATTCCTTGGAAATATTATAAGACATAAAATGACAGAATAAAACTAAAGTCACAGCTGAATTTGATTATCTTCCTGGTAAATATGAGAGTTGTTGTAAAACTAAGTCGAGGAGAGTTTCATGATGGCATGTTAATTTATGGAAGAAGCT